TGTGATAGGAATTAAAACCAAGGCCAGGTGTGGTGGCTCACGCCTGTAATCTCAGATCTTTGGGAGATCAAAGTGGGAGGACTGCCTGAGGACAAGAGTTTTCAAACCAGTTTGGGCAGCATAGTGAGACCTTGTTCCTTTTTTAAAAACAGAAGAAATTAAAACTATGGTTAGATTCCACCATACACCTACCAGAATACCTAAATAATGATAAATCTGACAACATTAAGTGCTGATGAGAATGCAAGGCAACTGAAACTCTCATAAAAATGGAAGACAATAGAGAATTCCATACACATACACAGAAAACATTAAAAACAGGTAAATCTGAGTAAGTCCCATGTACGGTACCAATGAAAATTAGCTGGTTTCTATGCTAACCGTAGTTATGCAAGGGCAAGATGTTAACACTGGGGGATGCTGCGTGATCTCCCTATACATGTCTTTCTTTTTTTAAAAAAAAAAAAAAAGGCCAGGAGCAGTGGCTCACATCTGTAATCCCAGCACTTTGGGAGGCCGAGGCGGGCAGATCACCTGAAGTCAGAAGTTTGAGACCAGCCTGGCCAACATGGTGAAACCCGTCTCTACTAAAAATACAAAAAAATTAGCCAAGCGTGGTGGCACACACCTGTAATCCCAAATACTCAGGAGGCTGAAGCAGAATCACTTGAATCCAGGAGGCAGAGGTCCACTGAACTCCAGCCTGGGTGACACAGCGAGGCTCTGTCTCAAAAAAAAAAAAAAAAAAATAGAGGCGAGGTCTTGCTATGTTGTCCAGGCTGGTCTAGAAATCCAGGGCTAAAGCCATCTTCCCGCTTCAGCCTCTCAAGTAGCTGGGTCTACAGGCTAGAACCACCAACCCCGGCTTCTCCCTGTACATTTCTATAATTATTTCAAAACGTAAAAATGTGAAAGAAAACAAACTGCTTGATAGTGGCAGAAAGCAAGCATGAGGGGATTCTGGCTGGGGCTTGCTGGGGGTGCTGGCTGCATGGGTATATGTTCAGTTTGTGAAAATTCATGGAGCGCCTAAGCTAAGCACCCTCTTCTGAATGTGTTACCTAGTAGTCCAATAAAAGGCTTTTGGCCCGGGAGCGGCGGCTCACGCATGTAAAATCCCAGCGCTTTGGGAGGCTAAGGCAAGAGGATCGCTTGAGGTCGGGAGTGCGACACTAGCCTAGACAACATACTGAGGGTCTGTCTCTAGAAAAAATTTAAAACTGCCAGGCGCGGTGGCTCACGCCTGTAATCCCAGCACTTTGGAAAGAGGCCAAGGCGGGCGGATCACCTGAGGTCGGGAGTTTGAGACCAGCCTGACCAACATGGAGAAATCCGATCTCTACTATAAGTACAAAATCAGCCAGGCGTGGTGGCGCATGCCCGCAATCCCAGCTACTCTGAAGGCTGAGGCAGGAGAATAGCTTGAACCTGGGAGGCGGAGGTTGCGGTGAGCCGAGATCGCGCCATTGCACTCCAGCCTGGGCAACACGAGCTAAATTCCGTCTCAAAAAAAAAAAAAAAAAAAAAAAAAGCCAAGCTGGTGGTTTGTGCCTGTAATCCCAGCTACTCAGGAGGCTGAGGTTGGAGGATCGCTTGAGCCCGAAAGGTGGAGGCTGCAGTGAGCGGAGATCGCGCCACTGCACTCCAGCCTGGGTGACAGAGACTCCGTCTCAAAAAAAAAAGGAAAAAACAACAACAGATTTTGTTGAGTGCCGCATTGATCCGGTGCCTCCCACGCCCCCTGTGCTTCACAAAAACGTCAGATCGGAGCTCCGGCGCGGCGGTCTCCTCCGCGAGCCTGGCCCGGGGCTCGGCAGAAGGACGAGCTCCTTGGGGCCAGACGTCTCCCATCGCACTCAGGCTGACATGGCAATGTTTCGGATACTTTGGGTACAAATTAAACGTTTTACGAAAAGTTCGGTCACCTGTTTCTTGATTATTTTTTACGGCGGCTTCCAGAACCTTTCGTCAGCGCGAGCTCAGTCCCCGGAGGCCGCCGTCACCTGTTCTCCGGGCGGGCCCGGGGTAGGCAAGCAGCGCGCTGGAGGAGTCCGGGTGCCGAGCGTGAGAGCGCGCGGGCGCCAGGCGCGGGGGCGGGGCCAGACAAGCGTGCTGGCGGGAGCGCGCGCGCCATGGCCTGAGGCGTCTGGAAACACGCGCGGCTAGGGGACGGGCGGGGCGAGTCCGGGAAGGGGCGGGGCCGCAGCCGCTCCCCTGACTTCCGCCGCCTGCGGGTGAGACCGCCTACCATCCCCAGGCGCGCTTGGGCATGCAGGGGAAGGCGGGATTCCCCTGGCCCGCCCCCAAGCCACGCCTCTGGCCTATGAGAACTGAGCTGTCCCGCAGGGACCGAGAGGAGGAGCCTCCGTCTTCGCAGGGGCTGGGCGTTCTGGGCGCACTGCGCCCTCTGTTGATCCTCTTAGGAGCTGCGCTGGAACCGTCGGGCCTGCCGGTTCGCACCTGGACGAAAGGGGTCTCTGTGCCGGGCCAGATCCTATGTAAATTTAGCTGGATAATCTCAGTAAGAGAAAATTAGCTGCAGTGCAAAGAAGCCAGGCTGAAAAGGCTGGGTTATTCCATTTATATGACATGTTGTCACAGGTAAGACTAGAACAACAGAGAATAGATCAGTGGCTCCTAGGAGCTGGGTTGACCACCAAGAGGCATGGGGGACATTGGAAATGAAGGAACTAATTCATATCTTTTTTATTTTGCTTTTATTTATTATTTATTTATTTTTGTGACACAGTTTTGCTCTTGTTGCCCAGGCTGGAGTGCAATGGCGCGATCTCGGCTCACTGCAACCTCTGCCTCCCGGGTGCAAGTGATTCTCCTGCCTCAGCCTCCCCAGTAGCTGGGACTACAGCTACTGGCATTCGCCACCACGCGCCGCTAATTTTTATATTTTTAGTAGAGACAGGGTTTCCCCATGTTGACCAAACTGGTCTCAAACTCCTGACCTCAAGTGATCCACCCACCTCGGCCTCTCAAACTGCTAGGATTACAGGCGTGGGCCACCACTGCGCCCAGCCTAATTTTTGTATTTTACTGGAGATGGGATTTCACCATGTTGGCCAGGCTGGTCTTAAACTACTGACCTTATGTGATCCACCCGCCTCGGCCTGGCCTCCCAAAGTGCTGTGATTACAGGTGTGAGCCACCACACCTGGCCAACTACTTTAATTTTTTTAAAAAAGATATCTTTCTGGTTTTTTAAAAAACCAGAAAGCAGGTGGTTACCAGAGACTGGGAGGAGGGGTAAGGAGTGACTGCTTAATGGAGTCATTTTGGAGTGATGGACATGTTTTGGAACCAGGTAGGCTGTGTAACACTGTGAATGTATTAAGTGCCATTGAATTGTTCACTGTAAAATTCCAAGAAAATCTGCAGACTGCTGCCTTTCTGTTAAGAGTTCATGTCCACTGTCATCGTGGGGTGAGCTGCGACTCTGCCTTCTGCTCTGGCCTCAGTCCCCAAGTGCCCAGCACTGTGAGCATGAGGCAGGCATAGCAGGGGACCACAGTGTAAATCAGTCTCTGGCCATGGAAGAGTGAAGGATTTAAAGGACCATGGCCCACCCTAGGCAACATGGCAAAACCTTGCCTCTATTAATAAGATACAAAAAAGTTAGCCATGCCCAGGGCAGGCATGCTGGCTCACACCTGTAATCCCAGGACTTTTGGAGGCCAAGGTGGGCAGATCACTTGAGGTCAGGAGTTGAAGACCAGTCTGGCCAACATGGTGAAACCTCTTCTCCACTAAAAATACAAAAATTAGCTGGGCATGAATGGTGGGTGCCTATAGTCCCAGCTACTCGGGAGGTTGAGGCAGGATAATCGTTTGAACCTGTGAGGCAGAGGTTGCAGTGAGCCAAGATCATGCCATTGCATTCCAATCTGGGCAACACAGCAAGACTCCATCTAAAAAAAAAAAAAAAAAAATTAGCTGGGCTTGGTGGTACAGGCCTGTAGTCCCAGCTACTAGGGAGGCTTAGGAGGATCACTTGAGACCAGGAGGTCAAGGTTGCAGTGAACTGTGATCAAAACACTGTACTGCAGCTTGGGCGACAGAGCAAGACCCCATCTCACACACACACACACACACACACACACAATAAGAAGTTAAAAATAGCCAGGCATGGTGGCTCATCCCTATAATCCCAAAACTTTGGGAGGCCGAGGTAGGCCAATCACTTGAGGTCAGAAGTTCAACACCAGCCTGGCCAATATGGTGAAACCCTGTCTCTACTAAAAATACAAAAATTAGCTGGGCGTGGTGGTGCACGCCCGTAGTCCCAGCTACTAGAGAGGCTGAGGCAAGAGGATTGCTTGAACCCAGGAGCTGGAGATCGCAGTGAGCCGAGATCACACCACTGCACTCCAGCCTGGGCTACAGAGACTCTGTCTCAAAATAAAGGACCACGCTAATCCCCAATAGGATGCAATGCCCTTGTGCCGTTACTATCGTCCATTTTCAGAAGAGGAAATTGAGGCTCAGAAGAAGTGGTTTGTCAGAGAGGGAACTGACCTCTGGCAGACCAATTCCAGGATCTTAGCACTTAAACACCACACCACAGGGAGCGGGGTGGTGGGGCTCCCCTTCTAGGGGAGGAGAGGATGAGGTTCAGGGAAGTTACAGAAGCCCAGGAAGTGGCAAAACCTAGGGATTAACCCAAGCCTAGGGACCAAGCAGGGCCCCTGAACACCTGTGTCCTTTCCCAGGCTTTTGGAATCCAAGGCTTGGTTGTTCCTTCTCCCTGTGCCTCCCACCAAAGAACCACTCCCCAACCTCAACACCATCTTCCACCTTTACAGAATCCCCAGGGTAATCCCAGGGAAACTGAGGACCCCAATTTCTCATCACAACACCACACACAAGCTGAGGTGCTTGTGCTCATACACACCCAGTCCACTTTGGGGGGCCCAAGGAGCCCCCCTGCTCTAGACGTGGTAGCCCTGCCCTGGTCTTCAGGCCAGTGCACACCCAGGAGACTCAGGATCTAAAAAACAAAGTACAAACTTTATTTTGTTTCTTTACAAAGGCACGGTGGCCTCTTGGTTTTTTTCTCCCCACTTTCTTAACAAAATATAATAGCTTCTCCTTGAACATGAAGACCTCAAAATTGTTAAAAAAAAAAAAAAAAAAAAAAAAAAAAAAAACAGAAAAGAGAAACAAAACAAAACAAAAACAAAAACAGAAAGCAAAACCAAAAAAAAAAAAACAAAACAAAACAAAACCAACAAAAAAAAAAAAAAAAAAGAGAAAAACGGACTTTTTTGGGGTGGAAGATGAGACCCGGAGGCAGAGGTGGGGGCTGGGGGGTGGGGAAGTGGCGAATTCTAGTGCCGAGATGGGGAATGGGGAAGGGGGCACAGCAGCAGCAAACCCCAACCGAGAAGCAACGGAGACCCCCGGGCCCCCAGGACACCCCGGCCCAGTCTGACCCCAACCCATCTAAGTGCTTAAAGGAGAAAGAAGAAAACCCAAAAAGAGGAGGGAAAGGGGATCGAAGGCTGACAGTCCTAGGCTGGCTCTGGGCAGGGAAGAAACAACCTGGGGTTTTGTTTGATTTTCCCTGTTCTTAAAAAACATATTTAAAGGAAAAAAAATGCTTTTTGGCAGAGAAAGGCCAGGCATCTCCGTGTCAGCTTCCCCCAGCCCCCGGGGCCGAGGCCCAGCCCTGGGGTCCCGATGCTCCCACACGCTCTGCGACACCCCAGCCCTGGAATCTCGGGTTGAGTGGCTTCGTTCAAAGGTCGATTTACAGTATTGAAAAAGAGGTCATAAAAGAGACCCAAATGACATCGTCATTTTGTAAAAATTTCTCACTCATTCACCCACGTCTCTCCCTGTGGCTGCCCCAGCTCCCTCCAGCCCCCAGAAGGGAGAGGAGGGCAGGGGGGGTAGTCAGGGAAGCGCCCCGTCCCCCGAAGGCTCCTCCCGGCTCTGGTCCATGGCGTCACTGTCTGAGGCCTCAGAGTCAGAGGCGGTGTCAGAGGTGGGGGCCTCCGGGCAGCTGCGCACGGGCTTCACGATGACAGCTCGCCGCTGCTCCTCCTCCAACTCCTGCTTTTCCTGGGTGCCCTCGATGTGCTGGATTGCCTGGACAGAGATGAACCACTGAGAAGGCTCGGCCGGGCAAATACGGCCAGCCAGGAGACGGTGGGGGCCCTCAGCCAGCCACTGTCACCCCCAAAACACATATCCCAGAAATAAGCCTTGCAAAGCAGCAGGGGAGGCCCACTAGAGTCCAGGAAAAACAAACTCCTTTTACTTTTCTTTTGGAGACAAGGTCTCGCTATGTCACCCAGGCTAGAGTGCAGTGGCACGATCATAGCTCACCGCAGCCTCAGACTCCTGGGCTCAAGCAATCCTCCTACCACTCCCTCCCTAGTAGCTAGAACCACAGGGACGCATCACCACTCCCAGCTAACTTTTGTATTTTTGGTAGAGACGAGGGGGTTCTTGCTATGTTGCCCAAGTTGATCTTGAACTCCTGACCTCAGGCAATCTTCCTGCCTCAGCCTCCCAAAGTGCTGGGATTACAGGCAAAGGCCACCACACCTGACTGAGGAACAAACTTCCCAAATCCCTCTGTTACATTGAAAAATCCATTCCAGGAAGACGACAGTCCCAGTGCTGCTTAGAAATTATATGTATCAGCCAGGCGTGATGGCTCACGCCTGTAATCCCAACACTTTGGGAGGCCAAGACGGGCGGATCTACTGAGGTCAGGAGTTCAAGACCAGCCTGACCAACACGGAGAAACCCCATCACTACTAAAAATACAAAATTTGCCAGGCATGGTGGCGCGTGCATGTAATCCTAGCTACTCGGGAGGCTGAAGCAGGAGAATCACGTGAACCTGGGAGGCAGAGATTGCGGTGAGCTGAGATCCCACCACTGCACTCCAGCCTAGGCAACAAGAGTGAAATCCATCTCAAAAAAAAAAAAAAGAAAGAAATTATGTATGTCTTTCATATGTTTTGTTTTTTGAGAAAGAATCTCGCTGTGTCACCCAGGCTGGAGTGCAGTGGTGCAATCTCAGCTCACTGCAACTTCTGCCTCCCAGGTTGAAGTGATTCTCCTGCCTCGGCCTCCCGAATAGCTGGGATTACAGGCATGCACCACCACATCCAGCTAATTTTTGTATTTTTAATAGAGACGGCGTTTTCACCATGTTGGCCAGGCTAGTCTCAAACTCCTGACCTCAGGTGATCCACCCACTTCGGCCTCCCAAAGTGCTAGGATTGCAGGTGTGAGCCACCCCACCTGGCCATACGTTTATGTATTTTAAAGCTTGCCTATTAACTTATTAAAGGCCTTTGTTATTAACTGTATTACACAATTAGGAAGGTTTATGAGCAATTAAAATTCCAGGAGATTGATGGATTTTTTTTTCCTGTTTTGGCTTTTTTGGTTGAGTTATTTATTTATTTATTTACTTATTTACTGATTTCTGACGTTGGGTCCCTCAAGGGGCCCTATTGAAGGCTGAATGCAACTATAACTTCAAGCTTGACCCACAGAGCTTCTTCCTCTCTAGGAGGCCCAACTGTCACCAACCCTGCCACCTGCATCTCCATCCAGGTCCTAGGAGATGGAGGTGAGACCATGTTCCGGACCAACCCAAAAGCTGAATGCAGGAACTCTTTAACCAGGGGGTTCTGGGAGCAAAGGACGCTCTCCGGAAACCCCATATTGAGGGAAGGGACAGTCTTCCTGGCCAACTCCTCCTACTGGCATGGTAGGCCCTGCCCAGGTCTCTGGCCCTCACATTCTCCACTTGCAGATCTGAGGAGGGGGCACCCCAAGGTTTCCAGCCCTCCACCCCCTCCCACACAAGCACCATCTTCCTCCTCTTCCGCCCCTTATTTTCTAGTCTCCCCTAAAGAGCCTGTTGCTGGAGTATGACGCCCACAAGCTGCCCCTTTCCCAAGCTCAGGTACCTGCACGATGGTGTCCAGATTTTGCCGGGATGTAGAAACAGAGTTGATGACCGAGGAGGGGCCCATGGTGACGACGTTGATGTGGTGGGAGGGAGGGGGAGGTGGTGCTGGCACGATCACCGTGGGGTGGTGGGTGGGGGCCGGAGGGGGCAGAAGCTGTAAGACAGAAGCCCTCAGCCTTTCTCTCAAGGCTTCTCTCGGCCCATCCACCTCCCTTTCATGCAGAGCCGGCCCGTGTATATATAACTGCCTCACCCCCTTTATATTAAGAAACAGAGAGGAGGTGGCCTAGGGAGAGGCTTCTGCCATTCAAGATCCCCTGTCCCCTTCCCGATCCCCAGAGCCCACTCCCAGGCGCCTCCTGCTCACCTGGGTCCGCAGGTGCTGCTGTTCCCGCTCCAGCTTCTCCTGGTGCAGCAGCCTCACCTGTTCCTGCTGCTGCTGCAGCTGCACCTGCTGCGCAATCACCTTGAGCTTTTCAGGGTACATGTGGGCCTCCAGCGAGCGCACCTGGAGGCAGGACAGCCTGGGCTCAGGGCCAGGACCGGGAGCACACCCTGCCCTATCAGTCCTACAGCAGCTCATTCACTCCTGCTGAAAACCCTACCACGGGGTGGGACCCCCTCAGCAGAGGCCAGAAGCCTTTCCAGCGCCCTTCAGTCCCTGGCTCCTCTCGCCTCCCACCTCGGCCCCCACTGGACCGGGACCATGCTCCCTCCTGCCCGAGCCTTTGCTTATGGCTGTTCCCTCTGCCAGGAACACCCTTCTCTGTCCTTTGGTTAACTATGAGACTCAACTTCCCACTTCCAGGGAAAAGCTGTGGGGTGTCCCTTGAAAAACCCCTCCTGATGCCACAGCTCCACCCTGGCCTACATTATGGTTAAGTTTTTTGTTTTTGTTTTTTGGTTTCTTTGAGACATGGTCTCCCTCTGTCACTCAGGCTGCAGTGTAGTGGCACAATCACAGCTCACTGCAGCCTCCACCTCCTGGGCTCAAGTGATCCTCCCAGTTCAGCCTCCCAAGTATCTGGGACCACAGATGTGCACCACCACACTTAGCCTTTTTTTTTTTTTTTGAGACAGGGTCTCACTCTGTCGTCCAGGCTGGAGTGCCATGGTGCAATCACGGCTCACTGCAGCCTCCACCTTCTGGGTTCAAGCAATCCTCCCAGCTCAGCCTCCTGAGCAGCTGGGACTACAGGCACACCCCACCACACCTGGGTAATTTTTGTATCTTTTTTGGTAGAGACAGGGTCTCACTATGCTTCCCAGGCTGATCTCAAACTCCTGGGCTCAAGCGATCCTCCCACCTCAGCCCTCCAAAGTGCTGGGATTACAGGTGTGAGTCACCATACCCAGCCCATCGTGGTTACTTTTTTTTTTTTTTTTTGAGACGGAGTCTCACTCTGTCGCCCAGGCTGGAGTGCAGTGGCAAGATCTCGGCTCACTGCAAGCTCTGCCTCCTGGGTTCACGCCATTCTCCTGCTGTAGCCTCCCAAGCAGCTGGGACTACACGCGCCAACCCCACGCCCAGCTAATTTTTTTTTTTTTTTTTTTTTTTTTTGGTATTTCTAGTAGAGACGGGGTTTCGCCGTGTTAGCCAAGATGGTCTTGATCTGACCTCAGGTGATCCACCCGCCTCGGCCTCCCAAAGCATGGTTACATTTTTTAGATCTTTTGACTAATCTCCCCCACCCCGACGCAGACGGTGGCCCCCGAGGGCAGGGACGTGTCTGGCTTGCTCCCCACTCCTAGGCCTGGCACCGCAGCAGATGCTCCTGCAAATAGGGCTCAACCCAGGGCCACAGAGCATGAGGGGCGACCCCAGGCTCCACGCCCGCTGCACCGCGCGCCGCGCCCAGCAGAGGGCGCTGCCTCACCTGCTCCTCCAGCATCATGCGCACCGAGCGCTCCTTGTCCAGCTGCTGCCGCAGCTCAATCATCTCCCGCCGCAGGTCCTCCGCCTTCTCGTCCTCCCAGATGTCCGGAGAGCCGATGCCTTCGTCCTTGTCTTCTGCCCGCCGTCGCTTGGGGGACGAGCCGCTCAGCTCCTGGGGACCCCAAGGAGTCGGTCAGTGTGCCTGACACCTCGGTACCACCACGGAGATTGGGGCTCCATCGCAGCCCCCCAAAGCTGCCCAACACAGGTGAATCTTCATTAGGGAGCCCCTTCTGCAAGTCCAACAAACCAGCCAAATGCCAGAAGAATGGCTGCTTTCCAGAACAGTCACCTGGCTCCCTCCAGAGCCCACTCCACTGCACTTGACCGATGGGGAAACTGAGGCCAGGGCAGGAAAACAAGTGCCTGGAAGTACTTGTCAGTGGGCAAGAAGGGGCCTGCAGCCACACCTGAGTCCCAGGCCCATGGCTGGGTACTAGGCATGCCCATGCCAGGGAGAGGGAGTCAGGAAGGAGGACAGGGCGCACCTGGATGAAGCGCTTGAGCTGTGTGTTCTGCTGCAGGAGCCTGGTCTTCTCCTGCTCCAAGGAGAAGATGTACTCGGCTGTCTGCTGGAGAATGGCTGCCTGAGGGCGTGGAAAAGCCGAGAGTCAGGCTGGCAGTGTTTACCAGAGCTCACTTTCCTCTCCCGGCGGGAGCCTGCCACCTCCTCCAGGAAGCCCTCCCTGCTCTCACCCACCTTGCTGAGCTTCTCTCCATCTGTGTGGGGGATGAGGGTCTTGAGGGACTGGAATCCCGCGTTGATGCTCTGCATGCGCCTCCGCTCGTTGCTGTTGGCGATCTCCCTTCGAATCCGCCGCTCCTGGTCCCGCTGAGTCTCGGGAGTTAGTGGAATGTTGGCAAGGCTGCCAGAGAGGACAGGGATAAGCTCGGCCAAGACGCCCTCTTTATCATTCATCTCCAGAGGGCCCCAGTGGAACCTGTATCCCTCCCCTCCTGCAAAAGATGCGAGGCCACCCCCACGGGGTGATGGAGGGGTGCTCTTTGGGACACCAGGGCGGACTGAATCAGCTGACTGAGGGTAAGATAGTCCGCTCAGAACCCACCCTGGGCCAGGCACAGTAATCCCAGTTCTTTGGGAGGTCAAGGCCAAGGATAATTGAGCCCAAGAGTTTGAGATCAGCCTAGGCAATGTAATGAGACCCTGTCTCTACAAAAAAATAAAATTAGCAAAGTGTGGTGGTGCACGCCTGTAGTCCCAGCTACTCAGGAGGCTGAAGAGGAGGATTGCTTGAGCCCCGGAGTTGGAGGCTGCAGTAAACTATGATCACGCCACTGTGCTTCAGTCTGGGCAACGGAGCAAGACCTTGTCTCAAAAGCAACAACAAAACCCATCCCCTCCCTGGCTTTCCTCATGGGGAGCAGTCTCTCCTCCGGAACAGAATTCCCAGTGTGTCTGAACATCGAAACATCCAGGAGCTTAGAAACTGTGCAGACGATGGGTGCTGGCCCCAGCGTCTGACTAGCAGGCCCTGTGGGGCCCAGAAACGTGGGTGGTGTGATTCTGATGCACGTGGGATGCAGACGATATTCAGGGACGCTGTCCCTGCTCCTGGAGCACTTCTGAGTGACTTGCTGGGCACCTGGGGCACCTCTTCAGCGTCTCAGGCTTTGCCACCCCAGGACTGAGGAAGACATCCCCACTCCCTTCCTACCCTCACGGCCACGCCTCGCACTACAAGTCCCAGCCCCACTAGGCTAAGACTTCACAGAAGACAAATACCACTCACTCTCCAAAAAGACACCAAGCCAACAACCCCTGGGGACACTGTTCCCCACAGCCCACCCACTCCAAGAGACAGATCCACCCCGTGCTGGAGAAGCGAGGCTCCCACCATGCTGTGGGGAGCGCTACTGACCCTTGCAGGAGCAGCGACCAGTGCGGTAAGAAGGCAGCCAGGGGAAAGGGGGCGTGGCTGCTGGCTGGGGCGTGGCTTCGGATGAGGGCGGGGCGTGTGCGCCAGGGGGCGGGGCTGCGGGCCAGGGAGCAGAGGCAGCAGTTGTGGGCCCAAGGCCACGCTCCCGAGGGTTGGGCCTGTGTGTGGCCTGGAGGAGGCATGTCCCCCTCCCTGGACCTCCCCTGCAACTCCCCCCGCCCCTGGCCTGATGGCTTCCAGATGCTGGGCTCCCAGCAAAGTCTGCCGGCCCCACCCGAAGCCGCAGCCCGGGCCTCTTCCTGAGGGGCCCTCCCGGGGTGCCCTGTTCCAGGACTGGTCCAAGGGGGCTCACGCCCCTGAATCTGGGAGAACAGGAAAAGGGTTCTGGGCAGCTCCTGCTCCATTGACGGGGGCAGTCTGGGGTCAAAGGGCTGCCAAGTCTAACTCCCCTGCTGTGTGCCCTGTCCCCTTCGCCAATCCGCAGGCGGAAAGGAGTTTGCATGGACCCAGGAGGGAGCACATCTGCAACAGCTGGAAACAGCCGTGGCCTTCCTGGCCCCACCCAGCCTGCCCCATCTGTCCAGCCTTGGGTCCTTGTGGGACCCTGGACGCATCCCTGCCCCTTCCCCGGCCTCAGCTTCCTCTGCCAATAGAGAGGTGTCTGACGCCGGGAGTCTGGATGCAAATCAACCTCCTTCCGTCCTCATCAAGCCAAGCCCCCTCCTCCATCAGGAACCAAAGGCCCAGGGCCTGTACCCAGGGTACAAGTCGCTTACAGGGTCTTGAAATGTCAGCACTGCAAAAGGGGCCCATGCCCCCCTCGTTCCATGAGAGACTTTAGTGTTCAGGGCAGAGAGGGGATGGTTTTAGGGTCAGTTAGTTGGATATCAGTGCCCTCACTTCTCCCAGTTCCCCTGCCCTGACGTGGCGGTAACAGGGGGACTGGAGCAGGCCTGCTGCACAGCTGTGTGTGGCCTGGCCTTGGGGCAGAGTCCAGGCCCCCAGGCCTGGCATGGCCTCAGACCATACCATCTCGGAGAGGCCAGCAGGCCAAGGGGACCAGGACTGCTCTGCAGTGGGTGGCTTAAACGTGGGGCTCTTTGGAAGTAAGAGGTGGGAAGAGATGTCCATAGCAAGCCACAACACAAGGTAAATGCAATCTGGAGGCAACGCCATCCCCCACAGGAGAGATGTGGGGAGAGAGCCCCGCCCACCCAGCCCCTGGGCCCCTCCTGGCGATGCCCAAAGGCCAGAGCTGACTAGGGCCTGGGGGTGAAAAGGGAGCACCAAGTTCAGCCTTGGGCCACCTGAGAGCTGGCCCTCCTGGAGGGTCCACAACAGATGGGTACATTGCTTTTTTTAAGTTTTTGGCTAGAATTTTCTCACTGAATTGTCACAATCTTCCTGAGTCAGGTGGCCTGAAGACTCCCATGTAAAGAGGGGGACATAGAAGTTTGGGTAGGGACCACCTGCAGCAAGTACTGGGACTTGAACCCTGACCCCAGAACAGGTGTCAGGCCATAGGCCAGAATGAGCTCTGACCGTCCCACAGACCCAGATGCCCCAACCGGCAGGTGACAGTTATCCCCATAAAAGAGAAGACGAGCGCAGGCACAGTGGCTCACACCTATAATCCTAGCACTTTGGGAGGCCAAAGCAGGAGGATCGCTTGAACCCCAGAGTTCAAGACCAACCTGGGCAACAGAGTGAGACCCCATCACTACAAAAAATTAAAGAAATCAGCCAGGCATGGTGGAGTGTGTCTATTGTTCCAGCAACTCAGGAGGCTAAGGTGGGAGGATGGAATAAGCCCAGGAGGTGGAGGCTGCAGTAAGCTGTGATCGTGTCACTATACTCCAGCCTGGGCAACAGAGTAAGACGCTGTCTCAAAAAAAAAAAAAAAAAAAAAAAAAAGACCAGGCATTTGGAAATCGCTGTAATCGTGTAATTCTTTTTATTATTCACAGACCTCATTTACATTTTTCCTTGCCTGATTCTCACAGAAACCCAGTAGGGTGACCGAGATTACAGCGAGCAAGCAATGCAGGGTCCTGGGAAGGGAGGTGATGATCCCAAGGTCAAGCAGCCAGACGGGGCACAAGAGCAACCTGCAGACGCCAACCCACTGAAGCGCCTCTACTGACCGCTGGTTCACACAGCCCACCACTTACCAGAAGGGAGAGTGTGACTGCAAGCTCAGCCACCACCCCTGACCCTCTGAACACAAGCCCACAAGTGAGGTGACTTGCCCAAGGTCACACCCAGCAGCCGGGCAGGGCACGGTGCAGCTAAATGCACCCTCCTGCACCTCCCGGCCCAAGTCCCACCAATTCCTCTGCTGTTGGGAGCTGACCCTCAGCCTCTTCTTTCCCTTCCCCACAAGGCAGCCCACTAACTGGAAGACCAAAGGAGACCACCAGACCCGAGTCCCGAAAACCCCAGCCGGAAGTTCTCACAAGGAAGAGGAGCTGGGGCTGGGGTCAGGGGCCTGTGTCGCCTCCTCCTCTGCACTAGAATCTACCGGCCCAGCTTCTCCAATGCTCCATCCTGCCTCCTTCCTCTCCAAAGCCATCAGCCCAGTCTCCTGGCTCAGAAACCAGTTGCTGGTAACCTAGTACTTAACTTAGGTTAAGCACTTTCTTAAATCCAAGAAAGCAAATTTCCCCCTCAAAGGTACAGTTCCCCGTGGGGACCTGAATCTGCCACCAAGATCCTCAATTATAACTCACCTAAATTGCCCTGGAAGTACCAGCCGACAGAGTCCTTTAATAGAATGCATTCTAACCAAGGCTTCTGATTGGTGGAATAGGAGCTAATCAGGGGTTGTGATTGGCGAAGTGCCGCCTAACCAGGAATTCTTATTGGTGGAATGCTGACCAACCAGGGCTTCTGATGGCTGACCAACCAGGGGTTCCTGTTGATGAAGGATGGTTGATTGAACTTTCCAGGTGATACTGCACTGGATAAAGTGGATTTTTCTGCAAATGCCTGAAAGTTTCTGATAGCTCTTTCTGGGGTTTTGCATTTACAGTTAAGGTCTGTAAAGGTCCTACACACACACTAAAGGTCCACTATCCTCTCCCTAGCCACTTCAGACTCCTCCAGGTGAGAATCAAAGGTGGCCCAAGTCCACTGACACCGAGGTTCTCTTTTTTTGACTTGAGCCTCGTTCCATTGCCCAGACTGCAGGTCAGTGGCACAATCTTGGCTCATCGCAATCTCTGCCTCCTGAGTTCAAGCGATTCTCATGCCTCAGCTTCCCAAGTAGCTGGGATTACAGGCGTGAGCCACCATGCCTGGCTAATTATGGGAGGCGGGTGGGTTTGTTTGTTTGTTTGTTTGTTTTTTGAGACGTAGCCTTGCTCTGTTGCCCAGGCTGGAGTGCAGTGGCGCAATCTCAGCTCACTGCAATTTCTACCTCCCGAGTTCAAGCAATTCTCATGCCTCAGCCTCCAGAGTAGCTAGGATTACAGGCGCCCACCACCATGCCCGGCTAATTTTTGTGTTTTTAGTAGAGACAGGATTTCACCATGTTGGCCAGAATGGTCTCAAACTCTTGACCTTAAATGATCCATCCGCCTCGGCCTCCCAAAGTGCTGGAATTATAGGCTTGAGCCACCATGCCCAGCCACACTGAGGCTCTCTTGCTTCTCACAAGCCAGCCTCCTGGGGCCAACCAGGGGCTGCCCTAGATTTAGGAATAAGACAGGTCACTGAGCAGGCAATGGCCAAGGAACAAAATTTGGGCACCAGCCTTGGATGCTAAGACCAGAGCCGCCACACCTACCACCACAGCACTCACAAAATCTGCTGAGACTGACACTGGTGTCTCGACCAGACACTTAGGGGGATGGGGCACACCCTTCAAGTCTAGAACCCTGCCAGGTACCTATCCCTGCCCAGCCCAAAGCTAAGTACCCCCAATCCCTCTACACCTGCCTGCCGAGGTCCAGCCTCAAACCGGCCAC